TCCAAATCAGTTAATAGGATTATTACTAATTGAGACATTCCGTTTTCACAACAATGGATTTTATTCATTGATAAACAAAAAATCAACTTTTTATCAAACGAACTACCTGCTTACGGATTCCATGATTCTAATTTGTAACCAGTGGCGTGTTTAATAACATTACAGACTTTAAATCCAATATTGACATTTGTATAAAAAACCGAGGAGTATTAGAAGCAAACGATGAAGAAGCTCACAGTAAAATACTACTTTATGTACTCTCTGTCAAAAAAGAAGGTTTTTTTTAAGCGTTATTGACTCTAACAATACTGATATGCCTTTTAATGTGGGGTATTTGCAAAACCTTTTTCCTAGCGAAATTTGGTTACATGCCGAAATTTTTCTGGTTACGTGGCAGTTTATAAAATAGCCCTTAGTGACGGTCTAACGAAAAAGCTACCGACTTTCTATACTTTAACAGGATGCGATACAATGATCAATTTTTACTGATAAGAAACATTCCACCAATATTCCGAAAATTCTAATGGATTTTGATCAGTCAACATTCCAAAAGATCGGTTTAATATTATTAAAAAAATTGTAATAAAATTGTATTCACCTACATTCGATGTTCTTTCTCTTAATGTATTAAAAAGTTTAACAGTCTTTTCATTTGTGCTATATAGGCTACCACCAACAGATGATTTCTCACGCATCCATGTCTTAAGAGTTTTTTTATCAAACCAAGATTTGGTAAACTCTTTAAAACCAAAAATGGAAATTCCAGCTGTTAAACCAGTTTCTGAAGAGGACAGAAAAGACTCGGAAGACGAGCGGAAAATTTAATATGAATATTACACATGTTTGTGTCAGCTAATGGACCAAAATATCCAAACACGCGCGCGCAAGATTGTGATTTATAGCTTTCCTAATAAAAAAAAAATGAATATCCATGCTCTTTAATTGAAGAGATCATTATTAAAGCTAAGAACTCTTTGAGTGTTAAATATTTTACCGTTCTACTTTGACTCGTGGTACATTTATTTTTTCAAAATTTAATAGGTAATAATACTAATAATAAATGTATTTAAGATTCCTATTTCAGAGGTAATATATTATGCAGGGGGTCCCAAATTATATAAAACTGAGACAGATTATAAATTTCATAATTTTAACTAAAAAGGTTTACATAAACAACGGTTTGATTTCGATCAGTATCAAAGTTACTGGTGGATCAAAATTGATAGAAATAATATATTTTCAGTCACACGACTGTTATCCAACTTTTACACCTCTTGACCAATTTTGATCAATGTTTACGTGTTACGTATTAATATGAACTTTTTTGCTTAAAATTATGAAATCTATAGACTGTAACAGTTAAAGTCGTACAATTTGGGATAACTATAAAAATTATAAGAAATATGTTTATTGTTTATCCAGAAAAAAAATTGAGACTGGTTGTGGTGATTATAATATTATGAGCTGGGCTAGTGTCGTAGTGCGATGGAGATAGATATATGTTTACAATCATAGATGCAACTAAGATGGGATATACAAAGCGATATGGATAAAGATACCGTTAGCCGACAGTAGGTCACACGCGGCAACCATTTTACCTGGTTTCTTTTAGATTAATTAACATAAGAATATAGTCTTTTGTTATGATCTAAACACATTTTAGAAACTTTCATAAAGAATTATTTTCTTGCTTTAAAAGCTGTAATACGATCTTGTTGTTTTATCTATTTTTATAGTGTTTTAAGCTCTATGATTTTGGGGAGTGGGTAAGGTTATTAATCAACTCGTATTACTTTGAAAAAGAATGTTGAGCGCCACTATATTAAAAACTTTCTAAACTTGACAATCAATTAGTGATGAAAATATAGAAAATCACTAACCATTAAGATATTATAATTAAATAAGGTTTCAGATAAGGCAGCGACAAATTCTAATTCACAGGGACTTACTTATTCAAATTTAAATGATTTATTTAGACTGTGGTATAACAGGTAACAGGTAAAGGGGATTCGTATGATACGCTTGGATATCACCAACTGTTAAATCTTCATAGGTAAAATTAATTCTCGTAAACTTCTTTGGATGGCTCGAACTAAACCTCTTGAAATATTTGAAACAACTTCTGTAGCTGGAACTAAACTTCTAAGTTTCAATAATTCTACACATGCAGCTGGAACGTTCTTCCAAACAATCTTTTTCGATAAAACTTCTACAGAACCATCGATATAACTTCTATAGAACTTCTACTGAACCATCTAGATACAGCCAGGCTACAAGGAAAAAGGTAAAAATATCAAGAAAGGAAACAGCTTCACAGAGACCAAAATTAATATAAAAAGGAAAAATCTTATTTAACATATTTAAATATACGGAGTGGCCCAAAAGTCTGGAAACGGCCAATTATCTCGTAAATTGCTAGTCCTAATTGTACAAAATTTAAGGTACACCTATTTTGGGATACGTAGATTCCAGATTTGATATTTTCAATGTTGCCAGATTTTCCGTTTCTCTTATATTATTAGTCACTTTGGTTTTTCAAATTGATTACCCTATATATTAAGTCATTATTGGAATCTCCTATTCAATACGAGTTCAACCATATGCAACACTTATGATTTTATTTAGTCTGGAAGGTCTTACATAAATAAAACAATCATGGAGAAATGTGGTAAATGCACTCTATCATCGATTAGGCTACTGTCAACTCACAAATGAAGCACATTTTGAACACTTGATAAAGTAACCATTATGTTAAAAATAGTGTAATCTTTTAATTGTTACGTTTTAATGTAGTTGAAAATAGTTTGTATTAAAAAATTTATGAGACAATTAGGCGTTGCCAGACTTCTGTTTTCTTTATTTAAGACCTTCTAGACTACATAAAATCATAAGTGTTACATATGGTTGAACTCGTATTAAATAGGAGATTCCAACAATGACTTAATATACAGGGTGATCAATTTGAAAAACAAAAGTGACTAATAATATAAGAGAAACGAAAAATCTGGCAACATTGCAAATATCAAATCTGGAATCTCCGTGTCCCAATATAGGTGAACCCCAAATTTTGTACAATTAGGACTAGCAATTTACGAGATAATTGGCCGTTTCCAGACTTTTGGGCCACTCTGTAGTAAAGCATATTATCTCTTTCCTAACAAAATAATAGATAAAATTATATAAAACATGTGATTTATTTGTGTCATTCAATGTGTTGAGGTTGTTTCAAATTTGACATTTTAATTAGAATTTCTTGTACAAAATATATACTTTCAACAAAATATCGGTAGGAAACTTACCTTTTTAAAATCAGACGGCCATTAAAAATATAAAAGATAATTAGCACATCGGATGTCCAAGATAAAAGATAATTAAAATTCAATAATTCAACTTGCTCGATGACAGCTATAAATCGAAATTAATTGCCAACTGTTGACAAAAGGCATAAACGACAAATGACATTAGGGTAGAGATGTTTGCGTCAAATTAACGAAAACGGTTCCAACCGTTCCAATGTTTGGGTCTAAATAACGAAAACGGTTTTAACCGTTACAAAACTTATTTAGCTAATGTTGTAGTGTAAAACCACTTTTCGCAATTTTTCCAAAGATAAAACCAAGGAAATCGCATTTTTGGCCATTTGCTCAAGTGGTTTTTTTAAATGTTTAAAATAATTTATTTACATTACTTGTGTAAAGGCACGTTACGCTCCATACAACGGTACCAATGTTTTGTTTTTTGAAAATAGTGCCCTTCTAGATAGTCTAGTTTGGGATTATCTCTGGTTTTAGAATCTCCAAAATATTATTTTATAACAAATTAACAATTAAGCTTGTAAAACGGAGCCCCCCCACAGAAAGCATAATTTTGATTGACTGGCTCTACACTATCTAAGCGTAACAGATGATTATTATCCTATTAATTCTAATACTAATGTAGGCAAAAAGAGTATTGTACTGATAGTGATATTTTTTGTATTTCATTTTTTTATTATTTAAGGGCACTAAAAACATTTTAAAATTATAACATAATGAACTTTATTTTCTTTTAATATGAATGCTTCATGTAAAAAGTGTTTTTGTCCCAAATTTTTACTAAAAAATAAATTTCTTAATCAACTTACGTCTGAAAACAAGTCTTGAATTATTATAAAAATGTAAAATTATCAGTCAATGTTCGCATCTACGTATTGTTAAAATCTTTACAATTAGTAGCCGAGAACCTCTAAAAAAAATCGTTAAAGTTTTTTAACCAGAACTTCCCTCAATATAGAAATTGTAAAAAACAGGGAACTCCTTGGTACTTAAATGTTAATAATTTAAAATTAAAACCACCAAACTAAAAACCCTTTTTCACCTTTCTCTCTTCATCGATTTTTCTTACCCTAATTCTCAGTTCGTGTCCACTCGGTATTCTTCACCACGATCACCGTTATTAAACAATAATGATTGGCTGCTTTTAAAATGGTCCAGTTACACAAAACAAAAGGATAGTTTTTATTATTTTTATTCAAGGGAGCCATTTTTTTATTAAATATGATTTTCTTCAGCGCTATTTTAAATTTTTTAAATTATTTTGGATCTGTAATCTTTGGCTTCTTAAAGTCCAAATTTAGTCGAAATCTGCCGACTTTTAAAAATAATTTTTATTTTAAAATCTGCTCACCCTGTATATAACTGATCGGAAGTATAACTGGTTTCGAGTAAGAAAGGAACCTTATCTACATACAAAATTTGAAGTTTTTCTATCGAGCCGTTTTTGAGCTATCGCGCCAAGAGACAGACAAACGACAGACAGACCGACGGAATAGAAAAATATGCTGTTCGTAATCTAGGAACCCTGAAACGTAAAAATCTGAAATAATCTCGGAAAGTGATTTTTGCACGGTTACTCTCATGTATAGATAAAAGTAAAAACATGAAATATGCTTATGATGACAAGGATATAGATTTGTTTTTCCATGGACTTTTCTACCTTCATTAAAATATGTTATTTTTCAGATGACAGAAAATATTACTTTGTCAATGCATACAGAGAAAATGCACAGTCACCGTTTATGAGAATAAATACTACCACTGTAGCAGATGACAAATATTGGGGAGAAGGTAGTGCCAGAGATAAAGATCTCGAGAAGTGTGTACTTGTTTGGTATGACCCAAAATTAGGAAATTTAAAATGGTCCAGTACCTTCTGTTATGGGACTCACTTTATTGCTTGTCAAGGTGACAATATTGATTTATATACTTATCCTATACACTATTTATCATTTACTAATTCTTAAATGTATATACTTTTTTTTTTAAATTCTTTTCTTTTTAAATCGACGGAGTGTTATTGCAATTTTCTCTTTATTATTACTTATTTACTAACTTTTTTATTTTAGCTGAAATAAAACAAGATGACTCAGGAATTTCAGGAGGCGCAGGAGCTTCTGGAAGTGCAGGAGCTGCTGGAGGTAAAGAGGTTTCTGGAAGCACAGGAGCTTCTGGTGGTGCAGGAGCTTCTGGTGGTGCAGAAGCTCCTGGTGGTGCAGGAACATCTGGTGGTGCAGGAATTAGTGGTGGCACAGAAACATCTGGCGGATCAGGAGTTAGTGGTGGTGTAACAGCTAATGGTGGACCTAGTGGTAGTGCAGGTATATTAAGTTTACATATTGAATAAAAAAAAAACTTAAAATATTTAACTAAATACATAAGGATAAATACAACTATTAAAGCAGATGATAGATTTTTGGGGTGAAATGGGTACCAAGAAAAGAGACAGCGAGAAGTGTATCTTTTTGGTGTTATCCAGAAATAGGAGACATGGAGTCTTAAAATAGTCCAGTGTCTTCTGTTACGGGCTGAACTATATTACTTGTTAAAGTGACAATAATGTTTCAATTAGAATATTCTTATGCTTAGTCTATAATAATGTTTATCTTTTACTAATTCTTAAAAGTAGATAATATTGGTTTAAATTAATAACGAACTTTTGTTTTAGATAAAATAAAACAAGATGACTCAGGAGCTGCAGGAGGCAGAGGAACTTCTGGAACCGCACAAGCTTCTGGAGAAAAAGGAGTTCCTGGAGCAGGAGCCGCTGGTGGAGCAGAATCTTCTGGTGAATCAGGAGTTAGTGGTGGTGGAAAAGCTAATGGTGAAGCTAGTGGTAGTGCTAGTGGTACGTTAGGTTTACATAATAATTTAATATAAATTTACAATATTAAAATAAATACATATTGTGTTTAAGTTTACAGTTTTTATTTTAAACTAAAAAAGTAGCATCCGCATTTAATTGCGAAAGACAAATTGAATTTTTCTTGTTGTGTCAGTATTGTTACTAGTCATTATTGACTAACCTACAGTTTTATCTGAGAAGTCCCATTGGGCTGTCTTAACTGTTTTTATACGAAAGCATCACAAGCTGCCGTGACGTTTTATTTCACTGTTTTACATTAGCACTGCCATTAACATTGACTGCACTAGCTCAAATGGCTTTTTTATTTTGAGTCTTCTGTTGATTGTAGAGTTGTCCAGTTATTGCAGCACTTCACTGTTAACGTGGGAGTGGAGTCTACCCTCATATTTTGCAGCAAACCTCTTTATTTCTTATTCGATTGTTGTAATCTATAGGTATTGATAGAACCAAGGTGCATTACAGATTGAATTAATTTACAAATATGCTACGGTAAGAGCATCAGAGTTTGATCTGGAACACCTTAAGTTAATTTTTAGTCGTGCATAGCCCAAATATAGGTCGTACATTTTAGTCAATAACAGCAAACTTAAAAAATATTCTAAAGCCAATTGCATTCACCTTTTTGCATCTGAAATGCATTTTAAAGGGTAGGTAGACACAACATTAAACAAAACACTAATTAGTTAGCTTTCAAGTTTACATATTATAATAAAATACACATAAGGATATCAGACTAAATACATATTCAATTTAAATATTGATTTTACATTGAAAAACAATAGTAGTTATCAGTTTTTATTGTAAATTAAGTGACATTTTTTTTAACTGCGAAACACAGGTAAAATTTATTTAAAAATATGCTATTAAGTAAGATTTTTAGAGTTTGATGCGGTACATTTTATGTTCAAGTAGATACAATAATAATAAACAAAATAATATGAAAGTTGTCCGCCATTAAAAATTCAACATATATAGTACCGCGTATTTGCTTCTCAGTAACCTTAAAAATTTTTTGGATGAAGGTGTTATGTTACCGCATATCTTTATAAATGCAAGAAGAGTTCAATTGTGGCTTGACTCTATCCAGTGGATTTTACGCTCTTCTAGGTTTCTTAATTTTTGTAAATATTTTAGCAATATTTGCTGTGCTGCATCATAATTCAATAAATATTGTTTTAATCCTACGCAATAACTTTAAAACAGCAAACATTTTATATAGCATCATCATCCACTCACTGTATTAATTATTATTAGTCTTAGTACCTATGTTTGTTTTAGGTAAAGGATGTGGGTCTGGTGGAATTAAAGGTCCAGGAGCGTCTGGTGGTGCAGGAGCGACTGGTGGCACAGAAGCCTCTGGGGGTGCAGGAGAATCTGGTGGTTCAAAAATTAGTGGTGTTGGAAAAGCTAATGGTAGTACAGGTACGTTTACACTTTAAATTAAAAGAAACTAATAATATCAAATAAACCAGTAATTTTATTAGTTTGTTATTAAGTTTATATAATGGTTTTATAATAAAAAATTATTATAAGTCCTATTTTTTAATTCTAATTTAAAAAGAGAGCAAATGTTTTTAACTTCAAGTATACTTTTTGATCTGTCATTTTTATTTTGTTATAAAATATATTAGTTCTAAGGAATTTTTAGTATAATAATAAAATCTAATTTTTTAATCGAGAATTTGTGATAGTAGAGGGAAACAATTGTTCTAATCTCTTTCATTATCTCTATAATAATAAGTTTTTATAAGACATTGTATCCATGTTTATTTTAGGTAAAGGGGGCAAGTCCGGTGGAATTAATGGTAACGTAGGTGCCTCTGGTAGTGCAGGACCATCTGGTGGCGAAGGAGCTAGCGGTAGTGGAAAAGCTAACGGTGAATCTAGTGGTAGTGCAGGTTCGTTAAGTTTACATATTGAATTAACATATCAAACTAAATAAATATTAAATTTAAATATTGATTTTACTTAGAAAAACTATAATAATTACTGTTCATAGTTTTTATTTTGAATACTAAATAAGTAGCATCCGCATTTAACAGCAAGCATTTTATTTATTCTATTTGCCATTTTTAGGGTTCCGTGTTCGACAGGGTAACCAATCTTTTTATTTGTAGTATTACATAAAAATATAATTTCAACCGATAGTGGTGGTACAGGAGAACGGCTAACTGTCATAATAATTATTTATTTTCTATAAATAGTCGTATGAGCCATTGTATTTCTATTTTAGGTAAAGGAGGCAAGGGCGGTGGAATTAAAGGCAACATAGGAGCATCTGGTGGAGTAGGAGCTCCTGGTGGCGCAGGAGTTTCTGGTAGCGCAGGAGCGTCTGGTATTGGAGGAATTTCTGGTAGCGCAGGTGCTGGTGGTGGTGCAAAAGGTAATGGTATAGCTTGTCTTAGTCCAGATGCATAATTTTAATATATTTAGGTAAAAAAAGATAAGAATATCAAACTAAAAACTAAAAATGAATTTTATTATTTGGGTATTAATTTAAATTAATGATTTTATATTAAAAAATCGGTAAAGTATTTTACCCAAAACTTCCCTCGATATAGAAATTATAAACACAGGAACGCCTGAGTACTTAAATTTTAATAATTTAAAATTAAAACTAGCATACCAAAAATCCGATTTCACATTTTTTCTCCATCGATCTTCCTCTTAATACCACCAGAAATCTCACTTCGCGACTACTCAGGATTCTTCATCAAGTTCACCGTTATTGAACAATAATGATTTGCTGCTTTTAAAATGGTCCACCTGCACAAACCAAAAGGACGATTTTTAATTATTTCCATTCAAAAGAGACTTCTTTTATATAAATGCGATTCCTTCAAACGACATTTTAATTTTTTTAAAACTTATTTAGGATCTGTAAGATTTGGCTTCTAAAATTTTAGTCGAAATCTGCCGACTTTTAAAAATAATTAAGAAAAAAACTGCCCACCCTTTATATAACTAATTGGAAGGATAACTGATTTTGAGCCAGAAAATAACCTTATCTGCATACAAAATTTGAAGGTTTATCTGGAAGTAAAGGTAGTGGTCCTAGTCAAGTTGTTACCTTTTTGAATATTGTCCACCGAACTTTGCAATAAAGGTCACTCTCTTACCCCAGAATATTATCAGTATTAAATATTATTAGCGTTAAATATTTTATCCTATATCAAATATGTTTTAGAATGTACCTTTTTTGTTTGTAGTATTACATAAAATCTAAAATCAACCGATAGTGGTAATACAGGGAAACACACGGAAAAAAATATGACTAGAAAATTTTACTACAATGTTGTAGTAGTAGACTTGTAGAAAAATACTTAACAATTTGTAGAAAATTTTACTACAATTTATAGTTAAAAACTATTAATTATTGTAGCAATTGAATTGTCGAATAAAATGCTACAACAATAGGAAAGAAGTCCACAATGTTTAGTATATTTTACTATTGTTTGTAGAAGTAGAAATTTATTACAATTATCGTAATTACTACTACTAACTTCTGTAAAAATTTGTACAAATATTAATAATTATCTCTACAAAAAATATTAATTTTCTCTACAAAAAATAGTAATACTTTACATCCCTTCTTTAAAAATATTCTATAATATTGTAGAAATTCTAAGTCATGTGAACAAAACAGAATTCTGCTATTGGCCAACGTTTTCTGACGTCGATCATAAACGGCCAGATAGCAGTAGCCGTTCCCCATGTTCACATAACAAAGCATGGTACATATACGAGTACCTATAACACATTATTATATTAAAAGCACCGATGCGTTTGAGAAAATTTAAATAATAAATTCTATTGGTGGTAAGTACATTTATTATTGTTTCTGAATAATTTACCTTTAGATAACTAATTTAAATAACCTTAGTAGATTATTTAAAAAAAATAGTTGTGGCCAACGATCGAATGTTGTGCCCAACGATCGAATTTTGTGCCAAGTTCAATGATGTTTTTTGTCTTAATTGTGACATACCTACTTTCTCATTTTTGTTAGTTATCTGACTTAGTCATTTAATATCCAAATCAGTGTAAAGGTGATAAATATCCCCGTTTTAAGGGTATGAACAATTCAATTGGTATTAATTTTTATTTCATATTTTCAGGTGCAGAAAAGCCAACTGAGACTGAGGGCGCTATTATTACTGTTATTTATTACATAATGTAAATAAGAATTTGTATCTTTTATATTAAAACAATAAATGGAATATTTTATTAAGGAACATTTTTTTCTAGGTTATAATTATAATAATTATGGAATACTACTACAAATTTTATTAAAAATTACTACAATTTGTATGAATTTTTACTATTTATTATGTAAAATTTTCGTATTTATTTTCATAAAACGCAATACATTTTTAATATAAATTCATACAATGAATAGCAAAAATTATAACAATTTGTAGAACAATTCTTATGATGCATTTGGATCTTTTTACTAAATATTGTAGATAATAACTCTACAATACATTCTCCACAAATATTTGGAAATTTTTACTACAAATTGTCCCTGTCCCTATATGTACCATTTATTGTAGAGAAAAAATCTACAATTGTAGAAATTTGTTCTACAATTTTTTTTCCGTGCAGCTAGCCGTAATGTCCTTCCCTTTTCGCTAATTATTTCTCTAGTAAGTCGTATAAACCATTGTATTTATTTTTATTTTAGATAAAGGAGGCAAGGCCGGTGGAATTATAGGCAACGTAGGAGCATCTGGTGGAGTAGGAGCGTCTAGCGGTTCAGGAGTTTCTGGTGGCGCAGGAGCGTCTGGTATTGGAGGAATTTCTGGTAGCGCAAGTGCTGGTGGTAAAGCAAAAGGTAATGGTATAGCTTGTTTTAGTCCAAATAGATACTGTTATTATATTTAAGTAAAAAAAATAAGAATATCAATCTAACAACAAAACAGGAATGTTATTATTTGGGTATTAAGTTAAGTTAATGATTTTTCATTAAAAAAATTAGTAGAGTATTTAACCCAGAACTTCCCTCAATATAGAAATTGTAAAAACAAGAACGCCTAAGTATGTAAATTTTAATAATTTAAAATTAAAACCACCAAACCAAAAACCCTTTTGCGTCCGCTCGGTATTCTTCATCAAGTTCAACTTTATTAAACAATAATGATTGGCTGTCTTTAAAATGATCCAGTGGCACAAAACAAAAAGACGATTTTTATTATTTCCATTTAAAGGTGACTTCTTTTAATTAAATACGATGCCTTTCAAGGATATTTTAAATTTTTTAAAAATATTTAGGTTCTGTTAATTTTGGCTTCTAAAATTCCCAGATACCAATTTTAGTCGAAATCTGCCGACTTTTAAAAATAATTAATTAAAAACCTGCTTACCCTATCTTTAACTGATCAAAAGTATAACTGATTTTGAGTCAGAAAAGAACCTTATCTGCATACAAAATTTAAAAGTTTATCTGGAAGTAAAGATTGTGGTCTTAGTCAAGTTGTTACCTTTTTGAATATTGTCCAACGAACTTTGCAATAAAGATTACTCTCCTACCCCGGAATATATTATAAGTATTAAATATTATTAGCGTTAAATATTTAATCCTATATTAAATATGTTTTAGAATGTACCTTTTTGTTTGTAGTATTACATAAAATCTAAAATCAACCGATAGTGTTGGTACAGGGGAACAGCTAGCCGTAATGCCCTTCCCTTTATGCTAATTGTTTCTATAGTTAGTTGTATAAAAGACATTGTATTTATTTTTATTTTAGATAAAGGAGGCAACGCCGGTGGAATTAAAAGCAACGTAGGATCATCTGGTGGAGTAGGAGCTCCTGGCGGCAAAGAAATTTCTGGTAGCGCAGGTGCTGGTGGTGGTGCAAAAGATAATGGTATAGCTTTTTATAGTCCAAGTAGATAATGTTAATATATTCAAATACAAAAAAAAAATAAAAATATCAATCTAAAAACAAAACAGGAATTTTATTATTTGGATATTAAATTAAATTAATGATTTTTACACTAAAAAAATCGGTAAGGTATTTTACCCAGAACTTCCCTCAATATAGAACTTGTTAAAACAGGAACGCCTAAGTACTTAAATTTTAATAATTTAAAAGTAAAACCACCAAACCAAAAACCGTCTTACGTCCGCTCGGTATTATTAAACAATAATGATTAGATCTTTTAAAATGGGGTACAGCTAGCCGTAATGTCCTACCCTTTATGCTAATTATTTCTATAGTTAGTATTATGAGCCATTGTACTTATTTTTATTTTAGATAAAGGAGGCAAGGCCGGTGGAATTAAAGGCAACGTAGGAGCATCTGGTGGAGTAGGAGCTCCTGGCGGCGCAGGGGTTTCTGGTGGCGCAGGAGCGTCTGGTATTGGAGGAATTTCTGGTAGCGCAGGTGCTGGTGTTGGTGCAAAAGGTAGAGGTATAGCTTGTCTTAGTCCATATACATAATGTTAATATATTTAAGTAACAAAAATAAGAATATTGAACAAAAACAAAACTGGAATTTAATTATTTTGGAATTGATTTAAATTAATGATTTTACTTTAAAAAAAGTATTTTACCCAGAACTTCCCTCGATATAGAAATTGTAAACACAGGAACGCCTAAGTACTTAAATTTTAATAATTTAAAATTAAAACTACCAAACCAAAAACCCTTTTTCACATTTCTTTCTCCATCGATCTTCCTCTTAATCCCTCCCGAAATCTCACTTTGCATCCAATTTTTTGTCATTTGTTGTTTTTATTTTGTAATATACTATATTGTTATTAATGAGCCCTAAATATTCTTTCTATTTATTTGCAGTATTACATAAAAATCTAATTGTAGGTCAAGAGTTTGTAATATTGAAAGAAAACAATTGTAATCTTTCTTTTATGTTTAATTTTTTTTACAGTTGAGACCAGTGGCGGTTTGTGACCAAAATATTGGAGGTTCACAATGACAGAATATGGATCTCAGTACAGATGTAGGTAAAAAATTTCATTGTTGTAGAAAGGTATAATATACCTTTCTATAAAACACCTACATATGTACTGAAATCTCTATTCTGCCATTGTGAACCCTCAGTATTTCGGAGAGGAGCCGCCACTGGTTAGGACATATAAGTAATTTTATTATTTCGTATTTTAGGCAAAGGAGGAAGTTTCGCTGGAAGTAAAGGTAACTTAGGAGCCTCTGGTAGCCCAGGAGCATCTGGTGGTATAGGAACTTCTGGTGGCGTAGGAGTTAGTGGTGTTGGAAAACCTAATAATGTAGCTAGTGGTAGTTCAGGTGCGTTAAGTTTAGAAAATTAATAAAAATAAGCTACTAAATGTTCCTTCTTGAATAAAGCATATATTTGTAGTATAACATTAATATCAAATTGTGAATAATGAGTTAGTGGTAGTCAGGCAAACAGCTAGTTGTAATGTCTTACCTTCTCTGCTTCTTCACTTCTGCAGTTAGTAACCACTATGAGTCATTGTATTCATGGTTGTTTTAGGTAAAGGAGGCAACTTTGGTGGAATTAATGGTGGCGTAGGGGCTTCTGGTGGCGCAGGAGCTTCTGGAGGCACAGGATCTGCTGGTGGCTTAGGAGCCTCTGCAGGCGCAGGTATTATATCTAGAAACAACAGAAATATTAATAGTTTAATAAATAGGTTTAATTATTTATTTTACATTAAAAAAGTATTTAGTTAGTTAGTATTTTTAATTTAAATTGGCATCCGTATTTAATTAACTTAATTAAATTTATTATAATAAGCTGTTATGAGCTTAGCAAATAAATTTTATTTTGAATTTAAAATGTTTTGGAATTTACCTCTTTATTTGTAGAACCAAATGCTTTAAATAACATGTTTTTGTTTTTCAGATGTTTAATTGCTATTTATGTGTTACAGTTGGTATTGCGTCTTCAGGAGGTACTGCCAGAGCTAAAGGAAACTTAGGCACTAGTTCAATGGTTGGAAGGCGACGTGCCCCCATATAATTTAGAACTAATAAGATTTTATATTTAAAGAATATTGTTCAATTAAATTAATTATGGTGAAACGTGTTTACTTTTCTAACTTACTGGTAACAATTTTAAAACTTACCGTGGCTATATCTTATGAACTAAAAATAATAAAAAAGTAAAACCTTATAAAATAGTACTGGCCTAAAAATATTTAAAGATAAGATAAGCAGGCTTGTTATTTTCAAATAATAATTATGGAAATAACTTGTATAGGGTTTAACATATATCGTTAAATTGGATTTTTACTAGCTTTTCGGCGATGTAAGAAATTTATTGTTTTTATTGGGGTAAGTGGACGCTTAGGGTGTTAATGAGGGTGAGTTCAGTTTAGCATAAATATTCTGATATAATATTAAGTCAATGAGATATACCCATTATAAGTTTTTTTAACGCTTATCTAGAATATGGTACTGGAGTTATTTTAGATCTCTAACTTATTAATATTATTATTATTATTATTATTATTACTATAATTATTATTATTGTTGCTAAAATGTCAGATTACTTGAAAAAATGTTCAGCAGTTATTAAAGTGCAAAAACTAAATTTGATACAACCGGAAAATTATTCATCACTCAAAATCACGGTACCATAAGACGAATCGGAGAAAATTCTAAACACTGACGTGTGGCCTAGTTACATGGTACTAAATATTTTTTTCGCTTTAGACAATTCTATTAAAACGAAAAACAGTAGAATATCAATTAAGGCGATGTCAAAGAGTTCTGAAAATAGTGTTCATGGGAATGCCTAGGCCGTTCCTATAGAGCGCGACGTTGAAGCCTGCCACCCGACACATGATCAGAACACCGCTGACGTATAGAGACAAATACACCGCTTTTTGAATCTACCAGAAAAAGCAATACGTGGCCGTTGATTCATAGAGATGGAATTTTCGGGTGACATTTGAAAGCGTCTAGAACAGTGTTTCTCAAACTTTTTTGGCGAAGGAACCTTTTTGAATAGCGAAATATTTGACGGAGCCCTAAATACATTTCTAAAAAAAGGTGCTCAAGCAAAATCATATCCTCCATCCTTTTAGTTACTTCTAAAAACAAAAAAAAACAAAAAAACAAAAAAAAAACAAAAGAAACAAAAAAAAAACAAAAAAAACAAAAAAAAACACAAATCCTCAAGTCAGATCCCTTCCTTTTGTAAGGCAATAGTACTTTTTTTTATTATGACTATTATTTTCTCCGCAGAGTCTCTACAAGGGCTTCGCGGAGCCCGAGGGCTCCGCAGAGCCCGAGGGCTCCGCGGAGCCCGAGGGCTCCGCGGAGCCCACTTTGAGTAACACTGGTCTAGAAACTACGAGTACAGAGTGGGCTTTGTATAAACAGCGCAAGTTCGTCGACAAACGGGCAGTTGAACATAAAGTATTGGACTGAGAAGATAAATTGTAATAAATAAATTAGAATTGTTGGTTAGTTCCTAAGTATTATATAAATTAATTATTACGTCATAAATAAATTGTAACTAGTGTGTTTTAAATAAATAAACTATAAATAAATTAAACTATCGTCACAATAATATAAATATGCAAAATAATTTTCATTTTTTCATTTAAATATTTGTAGCTTAAATAGTAAATTTGATGATCTCCGTATATACCCACAATATAATGATTATGACTTTGTGTGCATCTCTATTACAGAAGCGAAAGCTTGCGTCGGCACTTTGATGTCGGGGTGGTCAAAATTTGAAGTGACCGCGGTGACAGTTGATGTTTTTGCCGGTTGTTACACTGGTAAAAATTAACAAAATTCATATAAATTCGGATAATACACTGAGAAAAGAATTTAAATATCTGTAACCAACCTATTTAACAACATCTACTCTTTCTTCTCTGAATTGAAGGTTAGTAATATATTTAAAAAAATAACGCTTCACAATAATTTATTTTGAAGTAAATTGTTCTGATCGCTAAACTAAAAAAGTGTTAAATATGAAGAACCAGACCGAATACTCATTGTGCTTTAATTCATCAGTTTTTTTAGATAACATTAAATCTTTAACAAAGTGATTCTATTACAATTTATTGTATTAATCAAATGTAAACTTTCCTGGAAAACACCTTTAACTATGATAGTTGGAACTAGAAAAACTTGATTAAACTGATAATAACTGGCGTAAAAATGCAAATATACTTCCCATCTGTAATTTTGAAAGCCTTTTATGTGTTTTAGAGCCTTCTGATAAGTCAATAATACCATAAACAATCTTTGTAATAAGACTTTCGCCATACTCTCTTATATTAATTTGACAACTTGGTGGATAAATCCGTCATTGTTTGAAATAAATTTTTGAAAACCAAATTAATCTAGTAGTTGTTCATCGTTGATAAAAAGGCATCACCAATAAATGGCGTAACGATTTATTACACTATTTTACACTAGCACTAATAGCCCAAGAGCCCACTGCAAATGTTTTTTACCGTCATCTGATAATGAAATGAGATATGCCCCAAAAACATGGAAAAACATTGTACTTTACCAAATGGCACCTGTGCCAATCCCAATCTTGAGCAAAGTGGCTTAAAAAAATTATTTCATAATAAAAAAATCACATAAGGCATGATAGCGCTAATTTTGTTTGCCTTTAAAGTTTTCCAGAAAATAACATTCAAATATATCTTGATATAATATATCGTTAAAGGGAAACATTTTCTTCCTCTTAACATCGCACAAAAACATCTATCCACAATTAGTAGGTAAAAATCATTAAAAATATAAATCCATTTCTGCTGATTTAAAAATTTATTTGTATGTGATTCATTTTTACAGGTTGCAATAGAAACGACAAAAAAACTTCTATGAATATGGTTTAAAATAATTGTCTAACAAGAGTTTATAATTATTATTGACTATCTCTGCTAATGGTTTATACAATGCCATCCTTCTTCCTTTTACACATAAACATAGTTTAAAAGGTAGGTCAAAATATTAATAATTTAGGTTTAAAAGCTAGGTTCACAATGAATTAGGATTGTATTTTTCAGGGAAAATACAATTGTCGCTGTCATGACTTATGTGATTTTTTGAATATAAAATAATTTTTTTTAACCACTTTGCTTAGGATAGGGATTGGCACAGATACAATTTGGTAAAGTACAATGTTGTTACATGCCTTTGGAGGATATTTAATTTCGTTATCAGATGACGGTCCAAATTTGCAGTGTGCTCTCATACTATAACGTTCACTGCACTAGCTCAAATGGCTTTTCTTTCTTTCTTTCGAGTCTTCTGTTGAGTGCAGAGTTGTCCAGTAATTGCATTTCTTCATTTGTGTCCGGGCCCCGGGATTTTGTCCCAGCTACCCCTCCCTCTCGTAGGCCCTGGTAACATGACAGTTTTGCCGTTCATAAAATGGCAGACCTGATCATGCGCAAAAAATTTTGGACCCTAAAAATTAGCTATCCTTCGCTTCTGTAATAGGTACGTTATTCTGTGGTATGGTCAATGTTTGTAATTTATATTTTGACATTACACTACTTTCATTTAGAAACAGTGGTATAGCAATATTTGTAAAAAATTTAGGAATAAAAATGTAGAAAATTTTACTATACCTATACATTAGTATACCTACATGCATAATTATGTGCAACTAAAGTAATTAATTCGAAAACTGTAGTAGTGACTCTGTATAGATTGTGTACTTCTGGTAATATAAATATTTTTATTAGGTAATTTAAAATTATAATCGATGTTTTAATTAGTTAATATAAATAAATATATTTGTTTACTTGGTGATTATAATATTGATTTCACAAATAATGAAAATGGACATGTTAACCAGATAAAAAATATTTTGGAATCCTATGGTTTATCTTATTGTATTACTGACCTACCAGGATCTGTGCTACAAAAAAGTGTAAGTTAGATAACATTACATATTTTAATCTTTAATTATTCACATCAGAAGTATGTCAGTTCATTTGGGACAAATTAAAATTAATTTGTCTAATAATAAAAAATAAAAAGATATTTTTAAGAACATTTCTTTTCATTACGACTCATCTCAATTACTTGTCCGTTCCGACTTATATCATCCTAAATGTAACTAATTGCCCGATAGGACAGTGCTTATATGTTGTTATTGTAGTGCTTATTACAGGCAAATAATAGTAATTATTACTTCTTAGTGATATAAAAACAATTATAGTATCCGGGTATATCATATGATGCTGTCGAGGATTTTATCCGCCACGTGTATTCCTTACCAAAGGGCCTCTTCGTGTTGGTTACACGGCTTTACGCGTATGCTTTCCAAAGGACCGGGTCCAAAGGTTCGAGACCAAATTAATGGACAACCAAATAATTAAATCTTTAATATTATTACACCATTTACATTATAACGAATATAAAGTCATTTGTAACACATACAGGGTGGGGCATCCTATACACGTCGGTACAGACTATAACATGATTTTTTAAAAATTACTTTTATACAGAAAGATGAATATCTATAGGAGCTATAATTAAAAAATATGTTAGAATTTACAGTATGCTTCAAAAAGTTTCTATCTAAAAAGTATTAACATTGAAAAATTTTAAACAATACAACCGTTTTAATAACTAAGTACAATATAATATCAATATAAAATGAAAGTCTTGCATGAAAAATGTCTTTTAGCTAAATGAAAGTTAGAATATATCATTTATAATTTGGTAACTATGCATTTTTTTAATTCGAGATTTAAGTTTATGTTTAGTTATTATTTGTTATAATGACAACTGTCTCTATGGCAACAGTTTCTTCGTAACTGATTTCAGCTAAACTATAGCTACATTAAATCATCTATAATGTGACAATTATGCATTTCCTTACCACATGATTTTGTTTTTGGTTTAGTCGTTACCATGACAAGCGTGAGGGGGGAGTAGAAACTGTGTTTTGTCACATGCACTATCTATCATACTGCCCTATCATAAAAAATAATAACACCATTGCATTAACAAGGATTTATTATTTGTTATCTCCATCAGACTCTTGAGAATCGTACCTTGCAATTAGGGCTAAGAAGAATACATGCGA